GTGCAATCTGTTGATAGTTTTTCTTGCCGTGTTTCGCTACGGTATAGCAAGTTTTCGACTCGTACAGTTGTCGCGTTGTTCTTGCGATATCCAGGCAATTCTATGAATTCCTGTGAGTGTTCCGGAGGTGTAGTGCTGTGCCTTAGTACAGTGCTTACCAGAGTGTCCTTTGGATATCGTTCTCGGCCTCCACGGATTAGTTGCACCAGCTCCGGTGAGGACTCCCAATTTATTAATTGGTGAAGGGATCTCGATAGATAAGATTCGTTCTGATACGTTCTCGTTTCGTCGCTCTGTGTCTCTTGCACTATTTGCCGGATTCTTACTCCGACCCTCTCTACCTCAAATCTAGCAGCCTGAGCAGCCGTGCATTTCCGTAACCGTCCGCTCCCGTTCGTGCTTCCAGTTGCGTTTGCTGATTTTACGCGACCCCAAAGATCAACACCTACGGTTGCGTTTCTCGATTTTACGCGTCCCCAATAATCGACAGGATCCGTTAAGCTATCGCCTCGTCTGATAGGTTCCGTCAGAGCTCTCGTTCTTGGTGGATTTGGGCCTGTTCCACCCCAACTCCCAGTTTATAGCGGTTCGTTAGTTCCCGGTGAAAAACGAATTGGCTAGCGCCCGCCTGGCTTGCGGATGCACGAACGACGGGTGGACGTCCGAAGGTAACGTAGGTTGGTTCTCGAAAATAGTTCGTTCTCGTATGTTTTGCTATCGGTGTCGGGTCAAGGAAAAGAATTACGTTACACACCTTACCACCTATAATCTCAGAAACGCACCCACGCCCCTTTCTAGATGCTTTCCAGTTACAACTTAGCAATCAACACGTGGTTATTGAGATTCGATCGTGAGTTCGACAATATTTTTGAGATATGATATATTCACAAAAATAGTAAAATTGTGTTATGTTAAGGCGTGTAAGCAAGAGTGGCGGCCCAACAGCACCATTTCATTTCACAGGTAATGTGCGTCATAATATGATACAGAAAATAGTTGCGCTTTGTTGTATGTTTCCAAACGTATATTTTTTACTTTACCACTTATTTAAGACCATTTTTCAAATGCACCGGGACATGGGACACGGAACATGTAAACGTGGCGGTATTCAATTATATATTTGCAAAATTCCATTTGATCCTCCACTTAAGAAGGAGAAAATCGTTTTTAAAACCGAGCGTTTACTAAATTTCAACGATTTTGGCTAGGTCTCGGATATAGCAACGATATGGAAGCGGTTGCTGGGATCATTACGTGTTTGACGGAGCACAGAACGTGATGAATAGCATCGAGCATGCCCCGTTTCAGAGATGAGTGGAGAGATGCACAACGCTATGGTCTTAGGCGATACCAAAAGCATGCCGCTAAATCGTAGCGGCGAGTCCGGGAGTAGGATTTCGCTATCATCGCCTCTGTCGATATTACAGATTCGCGTAGCCGCGCGGGTCATGATCATCGTTCCAGCCGATATTGCAGTCACCGTGAAATGAATGGATTGCTCGATGGTGGGGAAAAAGTTGCCGCCCCTCGCAAACCGTTCTTGATAAACAGGCGGGGCAGAAAGGTCTTCCGTCCAATCGAACCCTAAACATATGTATGGACGTAATGCGCAAACAAATGTGTATAATCAAATAAATTTCAAAGTTATAAAAAATGCATAGAAATATTGGTCTTCACTCTTTATCTTTTATCATGCCGAAAATGAAGATTAAAAAATGAATGAGGAAATTCGGTGGTAAATGAAGCGATCGAGAAAAGTTCAAAGAGAAATTATAAAATATCATAGATAAATATCTATAATAAATTTAATTTGGTATTAAACGAGCATCGTGGCTGAGTTAATAGCTTGTCGAGATACAACGCTGCCGGTTACGGGTTTGATCCCCCATGAAGAACTCTTTTTTCATTTTTTTTTTATTTTACTGCCAAAATTGTTCAAGGTTCCTCTCTTTTAACCTTTCTAGGTTGCCCAAACTTTATTTTAAGTTTATATAAAATATTTTAAAAAAAGGTTGTCATCGGGATCCAACCCGTACTGTCTGAATTACGAGTAGGCATACAAAACACCGAAACGCCGTTTAGGCGTTTTTTTCTTAGAATTTTTATTTATTAATATTGACAGGAGAAAAATAAAAACTCATTCATGTATTCCGTGATTTCAACACTAGTTTTTTTTTAAATTTATTTATGACAGAATTGACTAATATTTTAAACTCCCGCTCGTGCCGCGCGACCGGCGAGTTAGGCGGTTGCGGGTCCTCTCTCGCTGAAGGGTCTGCTGTTGCTGTTACTGCTGCCGCTGGTTCTCAGAGCATACCTTCGAATGAAGCCGCTCATCAGATATTGCATAAATACTTTTTTTCTTTGCAATCTTCAGTTCGAGCGCCCAGTGTAAACTGGATAAGATTTACTATGAGAAATGAGCTCACTTCATTACCTGGAATCAATAATCTTGAGAAGCAAATATGAAAATGAGCATTATCTCTGTCGATAATTGTTCGTCCACGTGGAGAAGGGTGGCGCAAAAGTTCTTAATTGGTGTGCATCTTCATATTATTCTGCTTATATGTAAAGCAGAGATGAGTAGGGAGATTGCCAATTTTACTGTGGTTTCGGCGCACCACCTTAGCGGAGGGCCCTCGAAGCAGTTCCACGTTTTTGATTGGTCGAGTATATATAGTAATACTACGCGTGAGAAAGCTCCGCAAAGTTAGCCCCCCCACTTTGAATTTCGACATTTTTCTTTTTACCAATCGTTTGGTGGTCGTTTGGTGGTATTTGGTAGTCCATTCAGTACATTTGGTGATTTCTGGTTTACTTTTAAAATACATAACAAATTTTCAGCATTAACATAGCTCCCCTCCCACTTCGACTTTTGACATTTTTCTTTTTACCAATCGATTGGTGGTCGTTTGGTGGTATTTGGTCAGTATTAACTAATCGGTTTAAAACCGTCGTCTAAACATAGCGTTAGTTTCCACCGTGCAGAGTTTAAACAGAGTTAACCAATCACGTATAGGGGTTGAATGGAATTGACCAATAGGGCTGCTTGACTCTGTTTAAAGTCTGCACGGTGGAATATTTCTGATTGGCTTCTAGTACAGAGACGTACGACAAACGTTTACGAACCACGTTCTGTTGTAGACGAAGCCTTAGGCCCATTTTCTTCAGCGCGGTTCAATCATTGACATATAGTACTGGACTGCTCACTGTAGTGCAGAAAGTGTAATCGAGAATAGAAAAAGAGAGCACATCGTAGGAACCGTGCCGTCCTTCTCTTGGGCAGGAGCGGAATCAGGAATAAGGGAACTTTATTTATATATTTTATAAGTTTAAGAATTGATTTAATCTTATGTTAATCATAAAATTCAAGGTTATTTTTCCATTTTACTTAATTGTAAAAGTTTATCGTATTGGGCTCAAAATACAGGTCTCGCGGTAGCCCTCACTTAACACAGCGAATCACCATTTTTTTTTTGGTAATATTGAATTTTGATAAACTCAACTACAATAAAGTAATCACGACAATAGAGATTTGACTCACGGAGGCTTTTGTCTCCATGATTCGACTGTAACAACGTACATACATTTTAGATTTGCGGAGTAATCTTTCACATGGTTCTTATTTTGCATATTACAGTCCTGAAACCCTTCCATCAAGAAACCTTTTTTTTTTTTTGAACAATTTATTCGATCAGGGAGCAAGCCCTGTTGACCGGTAATAATACAAGTAGGGTTTAACAGAAAACAGTTTGAAAATAATAAATCAAGTATTACAGTATACTTAAATTAGCACCTAAACTATGTGTGAAGACACCGACGAATACAACTAGTGATTACATTAATATTTAAAGCAATATTTACATTAATGATGGATTATAGATAAATTTACATTACTTAGATAAATTTATAGACAAATTTACATCATATGACTACTTTGTAAACAAGAGTAGATGTGTGTATGATTACAAAATTACACGAATGATCCGGAGCAAATCAACCATAACTATTAAAACAAGTTGTATATATTAAACTTGTGTATAGTAACTAGTGATTGAGCGTAGCCTGAGACGCGTATAGCCTAGACCTACACAACGTGAGTAATTTGTATACAAAGTAGGAGCAAACGCGCCTATTCTCTCCGCAAAGCCAGAAATTCACGCAGTGAACGCCGAAAGACGGCAAGGGAGGGAGCTTCACGTATTCTTTCAGGCAGAGAGTTCCAAAAAATTATGCTGGATACCCTGAAGGATTGTCGGCAAAATTTGGTTCGGTGTTGTGGAACAGTGATATCTGTGCGCGCCCTCCGTGAAGTTCGAGAAGTGTTGGAAGTTGCAAATAATGATTCACACAAGTAGGATGGAGTGCCAGTGCTACGAAGCTTAAAATCTTTGACATAGAGTCCAAAGAGTGATGGCCCCAGGACCGATCCTTGAGGAACTCCAGAAGTGACTGGTATGAAGGAGGAGAAATCTCCTTGCTGGCTAATAACTGCCTGTTGTCTGCCACTCAAGTAAGATGCAAACCAATTTAAAACAGAGTTAGAGCAACCCGCAGACTTCATGACCTCCAGGAGCTTCTGATGACAGATAGAGTCGAAAGCCTTTTGCAGGTCAAAAAGGACTAAGATGAGGAGTGATGTGCTCATCTCGTCTAACATTTAGCACAAATCTAACGCAGGAGTTAAATGCTACTTCGACTTTGTGTAGGATTCCACTGCCACAGCTTCCACATACAAGGCAACAGTAGTCTACGAGTGGAAAAATAAGCGACGAAACCAGTAGTTTTCGTTCAAGGTCTTCTGATTTCCTGGTACGTAAAAATCTCCTATGGAGCCGATTTCGTTCGGTAATAGAAGCTTTAACATTATCGATGAAACATGGAGCGGGAGTACGACGTAACATAGTAGTTCGCAATGGAGCCAGCTCATCCAAGGTATTTTGTAGGAACTGATTTAGTAATTCTACTCGTTCATTTATAGATACGGTTCCCAGAAAGATAGACCAATCACATTGCTCCAGGCGTGTCCGGAAGTGTTCGTCATCCCAGTTTGAGAGATCTCGATGAGTGATCATGCGGGGTAAGATCTTAGGGGGTTTAATCCTTAGAACCACCCAAATTAGATCATGAGCAGACAGGAAAGGAACCGGACACTGCCTATGGGAGATGACCTTGGATGGGCTGTCAACGATACATAAGTCCAACCACGTGTGTGCGTTTCCTCTGTGATGTGTGGGCGAATACCGCACCAGATGTAAATCGTTCCTAGTGATAAACGAGTGAAGCTGGGAACTGTCAAAGGTAGATGTAAGTAAGTCAGTGTTAAAGTCACCAAGTACAATAATATTAGTATAATCAGAAGCAAGTCTGGTCAAGACATCCTCAAAGTCAGAGAAAAATCTAACTTTAGGAGGACGATATACAGCAGCAGCTAGCACTCGAGGAGCACCAGGGATCAACACCTCAACAAATATGAATTCCGGTCTGGAGCAATATTCGCTCTCCGAGGAGGCAATAATCCTTGCAGAAAGTGATTGGTGAACATAAATTGCTACACCACCACCACCCCTGCCGACCCGATCACACCGATGTAGAACATAGTCATCAAGTTTTGCCGCAAGGTCAGTCATATATGGTTTAAGCCAGGTTTCGGAAACCGCCAGTATATGAAAGAAGTTATCTACTATATACTCTCTTAGTTCATCAATATGTGCTATGACTGATTGAGCGTTTACATGGCCCACCCGAAGCCCAACTGCCGGATCGACAGGTAAGTTCGAAGAACATAGACAAGTGGTCAGGACCAGTGACCCGCGATTCTTTATCTTCTAGTGCACTGACGAGTGTTTCAGGAGTTATATATTCGAAGAAGAATCGTTCGTCACTAAATCCACTAGTGTGTTGGACATTCAGTTCATTTAAGTCATCATGCGCATGGAATGACAAGGAAAAATTATGATTTATCTCCTCCAGTGACTGGTTTACCCCTGTGGGGGTTTGTGCCCGGACCAATCCTGACCTCCTCAGGTTACTCCAGAGGACTCGCGGATTACTACTAGAGGTAAGTACAGCCCGATTGTGGTCTATTTTTGCCTCTTTAATAAGAATCTGAGTTTTATTCCTAGCTATGCGGAAGCGTTCAAGGTCTTCTGATTTCCTGGTACGTAAAAATCTCCTATGGAGCCGATTTCGTTCGGTAATAGAAGCCTTAATATTATCGCTGAACCATGGAGCGGGAGTACGACGTAACATAGTAGTTCGCAATGGAGCCAGCTCATCCAAGGTATTTTGTAGGAACTGATTTAGTAATTCTACTCGTTCATTTATAGATACGGTTCCCAGAAAGATAGACCAATCACATTGCTCCAGGCGTGTCCGGAAGTGTTCGTCATCCCAGTTTGAGAGGTCTCGATGAGTGATCATGCGGGGTAAGATCTTAGGGGGTTTAATCCTTAGAACCACCCAAATTAGATCATGAGCAGACAGGAAAGGAACCGGACACTGCCCATGGGAGATGACCTTGGATGGGCTGTCAACGATACATAAGTCCAACCACGTGTGTGCGTTTCCTCTATGATGTGTGGGCGAATACTGCACCAGACGTAAATCGTTCCTAGTGATAAACGAGTGAAGCTGGGAACTGTTAAAAGTAGATGTAAGTAAGTCAGTGTTAAAGTCACCAAGTACAATAATATTAGTATAATCAGAAGCAAGTCTGGTCAAGACATCCTCAAAATCAGAGAAAAATCTAACTTTAGGAGGACGATATACAGCAGCAGCTAGCACTCGAGGAGCACCAGGGATCGACACCTCAACAAATATGAATTCCGGTCTGGAGCAATATTCGCTCTCCGAGGAGGCAATAATCCTTGCAGAAAGTGATTGGTGAACATAAATTGCTACACCACCACCACCTCTGCCGACCCGATCACAGCGATGTAGAACATACTCATCAAGTTTTGCCGCGAGGTCAGTCATATATGGTTTAAGCCAGGTTTCGGAAACCGCCAGTATATGAAAGAAGTTATCTACTATATACTCTCTTAGTTCATCAATATGTGCCATGACTGATTGAGCGTTTACATGGCCCACCCGAAGCCCAACTGCCGGATCGACAGGTAAGTTCGGAGATGTTGCGGAAAGTTGTCATAAGGTGGTAATCTTCTCTAGGTCGTCCCGGCTCTCGATGCGAAGCAGTGTAGATGATCCAGTCTTCCGCACCAGAATGGTTCCACGGCGAGTCCACACCCACAATTCTGGATGAGGTTTTGCACGGGCACGTGCTTCACTAAGGAGCTTCATCTTTTCACTGGATAACCACTCATTGAT